GGGGGGGATAATGAAGGTTCCAAAAATATGTAATAAAAATATTCAATTAAATCTTCCAGATTTCAGTATCTTCTGCCTTCAGATCTGGCTTGTTTCATCAAACTGCTTTCTGCAGCCTCCATTTCCAAGAAGGGAGGAATGCTGGTGCACCAGGGAATCCATAAATGCTCATTTGCAAAAACTCTGTTTTGATGGATATGTTGGAATTGCAGAAGCCAGCGCTGGGGGATTTGGGAAGCTCAGCCTCAGTGGGACTGGACTGTGCTGCAGTCCCAAATCAGGAATTCTGCACGGCCCTGGCAGCACAGAGCTCTGCTGTGGTGCCTCTTCCACACCACCACCAGCACTCGTGCTGCCCATTTGCACAACGATTTACGCGCCTTGTGACATCTTTGGTGCCTGTGTTTGTGTATTTTCTCTGGGTGACAGGGAAGCTGATTGCTCCTGACATTTACACATCAAACGCTGCTTTCAACATGTCATGCCATAAAACATTTCACCAGAGCTCCTGTGGGTGAAACATCTTGCTGCTGTTGTAGGCTATAATCATTTTGTTGACATTAAGGGAGAGATCTGTGGGATAGCAAAACAACTTGAGTAATTGGATGGAGTGAGGTAAAACAATAATTTTGAAGGGAATTATCCATCTGATCACTGGCATTGTTAACCCCCTACTGAAGTTTCAGCACTGCAAATGGGATTTTTAACAACTCCTGCTACCCGAAACAGAGGTGGTGCTTCAGAAGGGATGTTAGTCTGTGCTATTTCTTTCTCTATTTTAATATCATGTTTTCCCTTGCAAAAGGCATTGGTGTTCCTGTAGGCAGCTGAAATGAATGAGAAAAACGTGTAATGCAATTCAGCAGCCAGGCAAAACCTACCCTGTTTCTAACACTGGTTCTGACCCTTCCCAGCACAAACATTTCAACTCTTGGTGTCCCAGCTGGGCATTTGGGAGAGCAGGGAAAAACCTGTCCTGGAAAACCCTGGAAGGGAGAGGTGCAATATGAAAAATTTTGTGCAGTATTTCCAGCCATCAGAAGACTATGACAAGAACCTTTGAGTGATTTAAAAGTATTTAAAGCATTCATAAGTATTTCAGATACCAAATTCCTATGGCCTTTTAGTAGTATTTCTTAATTAGATTGTATATGTCAAGCCTTATTCCTATTCTGGAACATCTAAATCTGAAGCTGAAGTGTGAACATCCTTGCTGTAATACTTTGAAATTTGGCACCTTCAGCAGATTTACTAAATGTCACCAGCTAGGACAACAGAGAGTTTATTTTGATTTAGTTTTCTTCATTGAGGAGATGTCAATTTATCTCACAAAATGTACCCAGTGGAAGAATATCCTATCTCCAGCAGCAAGGAGAGAGGGTTCAGGAAACTCAAGAAGAGGAGACACATCTCAAGGAGACACAGAGGCAGTAATTTCCCACCTGAAGGACAAATAGGGAATAAAGTCCCACCTTGTGACTTCCTTTTTTTTTTATTTTGTACAGAGGATAGGAGTGAACTTGGGTAATTAATTTTTTAACTCTGTTTGAAAAAATTAGGTGGGGATAAGGCTTAGGGTTAATTTCAGTTCAGTGGAAGAAGTTGCTGAGAAAGAACTGACTGGTGTTCATCTGTTCCATGAGGATTCCTGCTCCCTGAGGAATTTGACTGTCAAACCTTTGACCTTACAGCAGTACAAACTCTGTCATGAGTGGTGCTGTCCATTTAATAGCACTTTTATAATTTTTCAGCTCATTTCCCCTCTCATAAAGTCATGCTGGTATTAAATTAGCTCCAGGCATTCAAGGGTGTTTTCCAATATCTTTGCAGCAACACAATTTTTCCATAGTCTCTGAGCATCTTCTCTTCATTAGCCACTGTACTGTTCATCATCCATCAAATATTTGGGTAAATCCCTTACTTTTCTGCTCCACTGAGCACTCATCACTTCCCAGTACTCCATTCTCCAGAGGAAAACCACACATGATTTTTGGAGGTCCCAAACTTCTCACAACGGAATACAAACTTTGACAAATTGTTTTTGTCATGCAGGATAGAATGAAAAACAGGAGTAAAGTTCAATTATTTTGTTTCAGTGTTTTGAAAACAAAATGTTTACATTTTTCTGTTTGAACTGAAAGAAGCATTTTAAATGGGATGAGGGAAACTTTTTATATAAGAAATCTTGAAAAATAATAGTTAGAAACATAAAAGATCCTCTGATGTGGGGAAAGAAAAATAAAAATATCAGCAACTAATCAGTTCACTGAATATTTTGAGGTGGGGATTTTCTTATGAGGTTGACCAGCAAGGTTCTTTCATTTTTATCTCCCACCAGTGAAGAGCAGGATCCATCACAAGGATGTAAGCAGCAGCAGCAGCCCCAGGCAGGGTCCAGCCAGGCTCGAGTGGGGGATGCTCATCTCAGGAGTGAGCAGGATGGGGAAAGCAAAGCACAGCACCTCCCTCCACACATCACAGCTAATGAAATGAGCTGCTTTATTCTTTTTTAACACAAAGTGGTCCTGGCCATGTGATTCAATTATCTGAGCTGTTGTAAATTAGGGAGGACCCTGCATGCTGAGGCCCTGGGTGAGTGGATTCTGTGTCCTGTTAGCCCCAGGAGTGTGGCAGCACAGTGTTTGGCCCATTAGGGGTTGGCTCTACCAAACTCTGTCCTCTCCTGTGTTTGATAAATCCCAGTAAACCAAGAGGGGTTGATGCTGCCTTTGCCATTTGCTGGTCCCCCAACAAGTCACTTTCTGTCCCTGACCTGCAGTTTCTAAATTTAAAACAAACTTAATTTAACACAAAGAGCTTCTTCCTCCTTTGGATATGATCTTAAAAAAACCAAGTAGATCAGCAATGCTGCCTGGTTAATTCACACCACAATTTTTAAAATAAATCAAATTTCTCCAAACAGTGAAGGAAATGTGTTAATATTAGCAGAGCCCTCCATATAGCCTGTCTGCTTTTTCTAGTTCTCCATTTTAGAGAAGGAGCTGGTAGGTATTTATTTTTAACAGAACTATATTTATTTAGGTAAGAATTTAGTATATAGTGATTTTATTGTAAAATAGATGGTAAGAGATGCTCATTCTAAAATGCTTTGCAAGCTCTCTTGAAACACAGCCATTTCCAGGCAGAAGCTCAGCAAATGACTCACAAAACATGGGCAGAGATGGAGGACCAGCTCTCACTCAACACATAGAAAAGTTTGTTTAATTTGGAAGTTCAAGAAAAGCAGGTGAGAGTTAGAAGCATCTCCAGAGGCTGTCAGACAGGTCAGATTTAGGGAACCATATAAATTTATGTTCATACCCTTCAGTATAGCATTGAAAGATCAGACACTTCTAGAGGTTACAAAAAAAAAAAAAAAAAGCACAGCTTTTTTGTCCAGGAGTGTGCCCAGTTTTTAATATATTTCAGGAAAAAAATATTAGAAAACTGCTGAAACATTGTGACATTCAGTGCACCCAAAAACTAGCTTACTTTATAAAGATACCATTTCTACTATGCTTTTTTAGGGGTTTCTTTTGAAACTTAGAAAAAAATCAAAAGCAAAATCTGAACCTGGAGTGATCTCCCATTGTCTCAGCTAACTCTTTGTATCAACCCTATTGATTTTTTTTCAGGTTTTCCAGTCTGCAGAATATTTTGATGATTTTCTTCCCCTTCACAGCTGAAAAAAAATATTGTGGAATTGAAAACATGCTTCCCTCTCAGCTCAGGTTAAAATCTCCAAGCCTCCTAGGACAGGTTTTCTATTATATCATATGAAAGGTGTCCTTTCCTGTGGCAGGGGGTGGAAATAGATGATCTGTAAAGTCCCTTCCAAGCCAAACCATTCTATGATTCCATGTGTGTGAGGAAGGTGGGAGGTTTCATCTGCTCTTCCTGAAGTCTCCACCTTGGCAATTCTTGTGCATAACTGCAGGTACTGGTCTGTATTCAGCTACCAAGCACTTTTTAACACCTAGACTCCTGCACAGTTAACTCCAGATCACAAGCAAAGGCCCTCTGGTGCCAGAGGCTGCTGAGCAGCTCAATCCCCAAAATCCAGGGGGCAAAAAAAAGGAAGAGCACCTTGAAACCCTTCCTGGGGGAAGGCGCTTGTGATTTCAATCACGGCGCACTTAAGCTCTCCGTTACATTCATCAGAAATTAAATAGGAAGCAAAGTCTGATGACTAAGCAGCAACACCTTAATCACTCCCCTCAGAAGAGTTCAAAGCTGTTAATACAGCAAGACAGCTGAACAATGCAACGGGAGGCTGCAAACACTGCAGAGGCTGCAAAACCCGACTCAGAGGGAGCCTGGGTGTAATTACCTGCCTCTTGCTCGGCACCACTTCACCATGTGCTCAAAGACAGTGGGAAGGCAAGTTTGTACCAGCAGCAGCACGTTTTCCATCTCTGGCAGCTCCCTTTCCTCCCCAGCACGTGCTGGCTCCCAACCCCACACAGGGGTTTCTGGGTCTCAGCCTCCAAGTACAAGACAAGATCTCCCACCCGAGAGCAGAACAGAGGCCAAGAAATCTGTCCCAGAGCAGGTTTTCCCACAGCATGTGAAGTGCCACTAATCCAAGGTTTCTATTAAACTGCCACCAGGAAGGAAGGGGGAAAGACAAATAGAAAACATAAGTAAATGAGATGTTCTGCTTTGCTCAGGAGAAATGAGGATTATCTGTTCACACACAGGGGTTTCCCAGGGCAGGAGGAGACATTCAGAAGCCTCATTCTCTGTTGGCAGACACATCAGGTTTGGATATAAGATCCAGGTTTTCGTTTCATGGCCCTTCACAAATCTCTGCTTGCCAAAGAGTAGCTGCTTATTAGGCCCACTGAACCAGATGCTAATAGTTTTGAGTATTCAGTATCAAAACAGAATTATTCAAACGTCATCTGGACACAATCCTGAGTAAGGTGCTG